CCTCCATATGAATTGCAATTTATCTATATTTGGGGCACGTTTTGGGATGTTTGTTTCTAAACCAACACTCCAAGAAGGTGGACTCAATTTTCTTGGGGCCACATGTTACTCGTCTTATCAAGAACTCCAACCAGGTGCAAATTACAGGACCAATCTTTGGAATTGTTGCCAAGACAACTTACCCTATCTTGAGGAAGGTGTTTCCATCGCCATAGACCAAAAAGAATGAGAAGAGGCCTAGGATTGGTGTAGATGAAGATGAAGATGAGAACGGTTCAGAGGAGGAAGATGTGGGAGTTGGTGGGGAGACTAGTGCATGATTTTTTAGGGGGCATGAGAACAACATGTACTAGCTCAGTTGACAACTCTCTAGACCTAATTCGGGCAGTTGCAGACTTTTGGTTGGGAACCTCGAGACCTCGATTGGGAATCTTGAGGTCACGATTGGAGATGTCCAGGCTGAAGTTCGGGAGGCTCGAGAGGAGTCTTAGAGGATATTTTGAGTGGTTGCATAGTCAATATCTGCCTCCTTGCGGTCCACACCTTTCCGTTGACTCTACTTACCTTACTTGATTTGAGAGACTTATTTTCTTGTGCTCATGATTTGGAACTACTTTTGAACTCCACTTTCCCTTTTATTTCGTTGCTTTAGTTTATTGACATTTTGAATATTGTTTAAACTTTTAAATCCATGTTTTTACTTTTGAGCTTTCCTTTGATGATTTTAATCTAACTCTAGGATCTTATGCTTTTTAGTTTTTTTTTTTTATTTATTTATTATTTTATTCGATCTCTATCCTTCATTTATATTTGCTTACACTTGTGGTTTATGTTTGTGCCATTGACTCATAGGGGTGACCCTACACTTGTTTTTCAAATTTATAGAGCCAATTGCATTATTTTAGTTGAATGATCTAATTACATTTTCATATGTTGTTCGGTGATTAATTTGTATTTTTCTTTTCTTCTAATAATACTAATACTACAAAAAGCTAGCTACAACCCAAAACAAAATACTATATATAAAAATTACAAATATTTAGTAGCAAAATTCTAGACAAAATATTTACAATTCTTTATTGTCTAAATTTCTTTAACAGGGCGTTTGGTTGAAGGGAATTTTAATTCCTTTCACACTTAATCTCCACATAATTTCAAAGGCCACAAAGTTCCCTTGTTTGGTTAAAAGGAATTGTAATTTCTCGGAATTGTAATTCCCTCATTTTCATGGAATTAAAATCCCATGTCCCCCCTAGATTTTAATTCCTGAAATTTTAGGAAGAAAAAAATATAGTGATGAGTCAAAATTACCCCTTCCTTTCTTAACCTAAAATTAATGCATGACAACAACAATGTACATTGTGGACTTTATACTACTTATTCCCTTTCAATTTCCATGTATACCAAACATTGGAATAAATTTTCAGTAATTCTATTCCTGTAAACCAAACACTGGAATTTAAATTCTCACTTTATTCCCAGTAATTCATCTCCCATAGAATTGTAATTCGTTTCTCACATAATTCCTCCTCTCCAACCAAACGCCCGGTAAGCGTCCCATCAATATAATAACAAGTCTGTAGCAGAGAATTCAAAGGTGTGAATACAATAGGGTGTTTGGTTTGAGGGAATTTAAATTTCATTTCCACCTTATTTCAAAGACCACTAAATTCCTTAGTTTGGTTGGAAGGAATTGCAATTCCTTTATTTTCATAGAATTAAAATCTCATGCCCCCTGAAATTTTAACTCCATGGATTTTAAGAAGAAAAAAAAAAGTAATCATGAGACTCTCTTTTTTTTTTTTTTTTAACTTAAAATTAATGCCTACAAGTCTACCGCAACAATAGACATTTTGGATTTTATACTACTTATTCCTTTTAAATTCTCATGTGTACCAAACATTAAAATTAAAATTACCAGTAATTAATATTTCATTAAACCAAACACTGAAATTTAAATTCCCACTTTATTCTCATTAATTCATCTCCTATAAAAACAATTCGTTTTCCATGTAATTCCCTCCTTCCAACCAAACACCGCGGTAAACAAATTTTTAGTTAATAACTCTCATAACCGTTAACCAAAACTCGAATCAAATTTTTTTATTTTTAAAATCAGTTTGATTATTAAATTTTAAACATTTTTAATTATTATTAATTTTTAGCTTAGTTTTGGTCGGTGACTCAAAGACTGACAGTGTAAATACTTTGTTTTTTTTTTTTTTTTTCTTTTGAAATCAAATACTTTGTTAGTTCTCTGTGGGAACAATAATTAGTTTTGGTCGGTATACTTTGTTAGTTCTGTGTGGGAACAATTATTTACTTTCGTGGTTGAATGTGCTCTAAAAGTTAAACATATCACATGCAACCTATTTTGTTTTGAAAGGACATGCAATTTATAATATGTAATAATAGGATCACACTAACCTTCAGTCATAGTTCCAGTCGTGTTGATGGTGGTTGAATGATTCGAATAGTTGCAGAGGTCTCTCATTTTTACTCAATTCTCTCTAGATGGTGTATGAGGTATGTAATGTGAACAGTGGAGGACTAGTGATCTTATATAACACCATCATTGTGTTTGTATGTCTTTAGGTCTCCTAAACCCTAATTAACTAGACTCCTAATCATAATGGTAGTCTAGTTATTAGGTTATTAGTGTTAAACCACATATCAAATACTTAATATTATCATAACTTATTCTAATGTTATAATAATGATAATAGGAAAATGTTACATTCTCCCAGTGCAAACACTACAACTCAATAACAGAAAAAAAAAAAAATATCAACCATAGTGATATGTTCTCATTAGTACGAGCAGTATCCATTATGATCAAATGCAAACTGTCTTTGAGCACTTAATTAGGAAACAAAACTTAATGAAACAAACCCTATCAGGGCGTTTGGTTGGAGGGAATTTAAATTCTATTCCCACCTAATTCCAAAGGCCACTAAATTCCTTAGTTTGGTTGGAATGAATTGCAATTCCCTCATTTTCATGAAATTAAAATCTCATGCCCCCTTGGGATTTTAATTCCATGGATCTTGGGAAGAAAAAAAGATAACGATGAGACACAATTACCCTCCCCATTTTAACCTAAAATTGATGCTTGACAACAACAATGAGCATTTTGGACTTTATACATACTACTTATTCCTTTTCAATTCCCATATATACCAAACATTGAAATTTAAATTCCCAGTAATTTTATTTCTGTAAACCAAACACTGGAATTTAAATTCCCACTTTATTCACAGTAATTCATCTCCCATGAAATTCCAATTCCTTTCCCACGTAATTCCCTCCTTCCAACCAAACGCCCCGATGTTTATTTCAAGTCCAACTGAAGTACATTTTCTTAGTAATATAAAGCAAATGAAGGTGTACACACTTAATTGAGAAAAATGTCTGAATGCAAAAGAATTTTATTAAAACAGAATGTATATACAAATTACAAAGTAGATGAAAGTCTCATTTTCTGAACCAGATCCTTGAATTTAAATGGAGACATGCCTTTAGTCAAGGGATCTACTAACATCAGCTCAGTATGAATGTGTTCAATGAATACAACTTTATTTTTGATACGCTCCCTAATTTCTAAAAACTTGATGTCGATGTGCTTACTTCGACTCCCACTTTTGTCATTCTTAGCTAGGAAGACTACAGCTGAGTTGTCACAATAGACTTTCAATGGCTTAGATATAGAGTCCATAATTTTAAGCCCAGAGATAAAATTCTTTAGCCACACACCTTGAAAAGTAGCGCCGAAACAGGAAACGAACTCGACTTTCATGGTAGAAGTAGCTATTAAGGACTATTTAACACTTCTCCATGAGATAGCCCCATCGACCATGATAAAGATGTACCCTAAAGTTAACTTTCGAGAATCAACACAGTCAGCGAAGTCTCCATCAAAATAATACATGTAAATTGTCTGTCTGACTATACTCAAGCTTGTAACCTTTGGTGTATGTGTTAGTGTGTATATTCGTCTATTTGAGAATACAATACAACAGTGCACCGTTTAGGTAAAAACTATTGTTTCCTTCCATTAATGACTTAATGTTAACTTCTAAGACAATTTGGTATTTTATAATAATCTTAGTCTCTTTTTTTTTTTTTTTTTTTTTAATGCTAATAAACGATATAATAAATAATAATTTGATAGACTTTTTAATGAAAATCATTTTTTCTATATTATATATCCTTTATTATGTTATGAGCTTTTTCTTTTTGGGGGTAAAACTAATATATTAAAATTTTCAAATGTCAAATAGTCTTAGAAATTAAAGCGAATTGGATCAAAATTATAAAGATAAAAGGAAGATCAAATAATGCAACAATATCAACAAAGTCATGAGACTAAATATGATCAAATTAAAAATTATAGTCGAAATAAAAATTTCTCGAATAATAGTAAATATAAAATGAAAGTGATGATGAGGAATTATATATAAAAAAAAAAGTATGTGATGGATATATCAAGATTGGTCCAAGAAGAGGGACGGCCCAAGGCGTGTATGGCTCATTGAGCGAATGCCGAAGAGCAGAGATCATCTGGACATAAAGTTAAGAACCGAAGAAAATGCTATGAGCAAGGAGCGAACGATCCCCGAGGATGGCAATCACTAGTGGCCCCGTAGCTCATCTCCGAGGTTAGGTCAATGGGTGTTGACTTAGTCTCAACTCTCAAGACATGTCCTATATATTTGTAGAAATTTATTAGGGTCTTTGACCTTATATAGTTACCATTATTCTAACCTAGACAAAATCACGTTCTTTCATTCTTTCATTACACAACTTATAATACACAAACATCAATTATATTGTTGTATTATAAAAGAAGAAAAAAGTATGATGCATTGTGTACATATACACACTACTTTTCTTGTTTCTTTTTCCCCATTGAATTTGCCAAATGTTTCAATTGTATATATATATATATATATATATATATATATATATATATATATATATATATATAAAGTTAGGTGATCTCAAATTCGTCGGACTAATCCTATCCTAAGTCCACAGAACTTCATCCCTAGATCGAGCAATTGCCAAGGTAAATGGATTCGAACTCCATACCGCTGACTCCAGTTAGGCGAGGAACCAACTAAGCTAAGTCCCGGGATATTTGAATTATATTTGTGAGTATGAAGAGTTGCTATGAATGTGGTTTGAAATGGTTGGTTTGTAATTAGTGAGGTGAAGAAGATAGTGCACTCCAATTCCAACATCATAAACCGCAAGCCCCAGCCTCCCACCAACCCAGCTTCCCAACTGGCTTCCGATGAGGAACCCGAACCAACGCAGCCTTCCTTCGCCGGCCAACCCGCCGGAATACGCCCCCAAGAATGTCCCGGCGCTTCTAACCATTCCCTCGCAGGTTGTCCCTCCCGCGTAAACCGTTTCGAAGAAATCCCAAACCGACGACACGGTGGGCGCCATCACGTGCTTTGCTTGCAGATACGCTCGCCTTGCCGCCGCGTCCCCCACTTCGGCGGCCGCCGCCGCCGCGTCTCGGCGGCTCCGGCCTTGGGACAGGTTGCGTTGGAGGGCCGACTTCGTCGCCTCCGCCCTTACCTTGTGAACGTGAGAAGCTCTAACGTAGTACATGTAAACCTTGACCGCCTCTTTGAGGATGCACGCCACGCTCCCGTAGCTCATGTCCAAGCAGTTCAAGAACGTAAATCTTTCTCCCCGCCCTCTCCTCCCTGCCGCCATGTTTCCTCCGGCTAGTTGCCGGCATTTCTCGGCTGCACCAACAGATTAAAATATGGTCAATCTATATTAAAGGGTCAAATCCAGCACCGCCACTAGGGGTTGGGCAAAGATATGAAGGGCCAAATTAAATAATTCAACAATGGTCTCTTAAAAATGTAGCCCTATAAAAGAAATAAAGTTGCATATTTGTTACTGGCCGATTTTTGTCATTTGACATAATTGTAAACGTTTTAAAGGCAAAGAATGATAAAATAGTTAGCATATCAGCCAAAATTGGTTCGTTTGACCACTATTAGCTGTTTGATTTGGTTAAACAATCAATGAGTATTTAATTAAATAGTTTTTTGTAACAGCTTATTGCACCAAAATACTAAAATTCAGCTTTTTCTATCAGTTTTTTGAGAAATTCATTTTGTATGTAATCAACTATCAGCTAATTAACCCTTAATTTACCAAACATCTTTCTACAATTAGCTAGTGATATTAACTAGTCAAACCTACTAAACCAATCAGCTAACAACTATTTACCAAACAACCCAATATATATGACAAAATTGAAAGCAAAAGAGGAATAACCTGTGAGGCTGATAAGAATGATTGCAGTAAGCAGGGAGACATATCGGATCCTCATTATATCCGTCCTCTGATCTGATCATTGTATGTGTTGTTATTTGGATTGTTATATACACAGACGGCGACGATAATATAATATAATTAATATTGTTGTTGTTGTTGCATGATGCATGGCAACGCAAAAAATTAAAGAATCTCTCTTAATGTAAAGTCTATTGGCAAGGAAAGGTAAGCTAAGGTTGAGTGGCAAAGTAACCAAATGATTCCAATAAAGAAACGTATAGCTCTATGCCTCTATCTAGTATCTATTCTATGAAACTTCTATACGTCACAATTCAATTATATGCAAACCTTTAAAATTTAGTAAAAGAAAATTCAAAATTTTGACCCTAAAAATAATTTATTTCTCGCGATTCAAGTATTAATTGCTGACTATAATATTTGAACAAACATACTTTTATACTCTGTAAAATGTTATTATATTCTTAGTGTGATTTACAAGTGCCTTTCGTTTTAAAATTTTCAATTGCCACCTCATCAATTTTTATTTTTTATTTTTTTAAAATAATGCCAGCTAGCAAGCTTGGTGTTTTTGTAAACTTCACTACTGAAAATTATGAAAGTGATCTTAAATCAAATCGAAAGCCTTGTTCCGACCACTTTTGGTATCCGGAAAAGTTATTGTTGCTATTTCCGACCACTTTTTACTTTCGACTTGATTTAAGATCACTTTCAGGTGGTCGAAAATTCCATAATTTCCAGCCGTGTTTGTTAATGGAAGCTGCCATTTGGTACTTTTCTTGTCTTTTTTTTTTTTTTTTTGGTTAATATTTTAAAGTGATGTGAAGTTGGGATCCACTTTTGAAAGTGAATTGAATTTGTGAAAATGTAGTGTAAATAGTAAATGAATTCCAAAATTAGTAATATGAAATTAATACCACTTTTGAAGGTGAGAGAGTATTAAAGAAATAAGGATAACCTCGGATATATTTGCAAGAATCGGAGGTTGGAGTTGTAATTTCTAAAATAAAATAAATGAAAGAGAAAAAATGTATCAAAAGGTTTTAGCATTGATATAACAGTAGAGATATTAATGAGTGCTGCGCTAGTAAAGAGCTGAGGTTTTACTCTTTACAGTGATTTCTAAACAAAATTTTCACATGTGAAGTTGGATTCTCCAGCCAGGATATGAACAATCAAAATGGATACATGTATGTATAATGTATGTATACTCATCACTCAAACTTTCTTTTTCACAACACTGCAATATTACAATTATGCAGAAGGAACAATGTACAAGCTAAGGTGGAGCAATGAACAAAACCCCTTGTTGTATTTTTCCATATTACTCTCTATCTTTGCTACATCACACCTTCCCATCCTAATGCTTCAACTTCAACTAGCTCCCACTAAATGTTTCTGGATTTTCTATGTCGGTCTGATGATGTTGAGGACCGACCTGCGATGTTGTTGTTGCTGTTGCTGTTACTGTTTGGTTTGGCTGTGGCGGCCACCGCCCTGGAGGTAGCGCGACTTGAGGATTCTCTTGGCGGTGTAACAAAACGCGCCGCCTTCTTCGCCATCTGAAGTACTCGACAAGAATGGAACTTCCACTCATTGCAACACCAAACCCCGCAAATGTGGAGAGAAGAATCGACAGAACTGCTTGCACATGAACCTAGTAAAAGATGCACAACTCTCCTCAGTTCCACGTCGTGTCAACATACTACTGTAGAGCTGTCAAAACAGGCGAGCCCAACCCATACAGGCTGACCCGTCACGAGTTGGAGAGAACTACATGTTCTTGCTATGAACAATACTCTTAAATTCTAGTATATTATATATACCACATTTAAATTAAAAAATATTTAAATAAACGTGGGGTGGGAGTAGGGGTGGCGGGTTACATAGGCCAACCATTATAGCCCGGGTACTCCCACGGGCTAAACGGGGCGGGGCGGGGAAATATTCAACCCGCCCTGTCCAAAAGCCTGGGTTGGGTCGTTTTGACAGCTCCACATACTACGCTTGGGCTAAACGGCTGGGTTGGGCCGTTTTGACAGCTCCAGATACTAGAATAGTAGCTAGGATGAAATCTTACCAGAGAGTAGAAAATATGTGCAAAGAGCACCACAAATGCAAACTGGACTGATGCATACACCCATACAAATCTTCTCTTTACTGCATAAAACAACAAGATGTTATATGACACTATCGAAAAACAACAACTCTATGTTCTATGTTAGCTATTGCAAGTTTTTTCCATATCAGATAGATATATTTAACCCCTTCCTCTCTATTATGTTTCCATAACGTCAAACGAACATACCCATTGTCGAAGATGTCATAGATCCAAGGAGGCCGAGTACACAAGAAAAGGGCAGCGATATGGCAATTGCACCCGTCCCCATCTTTCCAACCTGAAGACATAACATTATTAACAAAACAAGAAAACCTCGTATAGCTATTTTGTCTTCTGGTAATGAAGAATTGTTAATCGTACCAGCAGCTGCTCGAGAAAACAGAAGTATGCAAGCATGCTGACAATGACGAGAATGGGAACTTCCTGCCAAACCCTGCATAGACAGAGCCAGCATTTAAGAATATGTTCGAAAGCAGAACAATAGTGATTGTAGATTTGGAAGCCAAGGAAAAAGCTAAACCGTAAAAAAGAATGCTGTGAACTTGCCTGTGTCCATTTACATCCATTTGATTGAACCGAGCTGCAGCAGCGTTTGCATTTCGGATACTCTGGATACGCAGTAGAGTGACAGGCAGATTACGGACCTCGTGCTTGCAAACATCACACGTCTTGTTACCCTTGATGCTAAACCATTTTATGGCGCATTCTTGGTGAGCCAGAGCAAGCTCGCCTTTGCAGCTGCACTCCATCTTGAGCGTCTCTCCGCCTTCGCACAATTCAATCAAGCAAATTCGACAAACCGCCTCTTCTTCGGGTATATCTTCGCCTCCGTCCTCATTTTCTTCTGAGCAATAAGCAAACGTCAGAAACAGAATGTGACCAAAATTGAAGCATGTGCTCCATCTGAACTAAAAGCTTAAGTTGCTGATAATTGGATTGCATATTTATGTTTATATATTATATGCTCAACACACCCCCTCACGTGTATTGAAGCGCAATTACCAGAATCTCGTTTTGGAGTGGGTGCAGCAGAGACAATGGACTCCAAATCCTTCAAGCAAGGCGTTGAAGGAATAACGCGAAAGAAAGATTCCACTTTGCGGGCGCTTCCATCCTTGTTAACCACCGGGAGAGAAAGGGAACGAGGAATGCGGAGTTGTGTTCCTTTGGAGTGCAGCGAAGTAGGAGAAGTTACAGAAGCAGTGCTTACACTTCCTCCCCCGAGTGCAGGCTCGGGGTTCAAGTCTGCAAGAGGATCAATGGGCAAAGACGAGGTCCTCTTAATGCGAGGCGTGAACATTTTAGAGAGTGACCAAGACCTGGAGATGGAGATGGACACTACTTTGTCTTGTGGAGCTGTGGCAGAACAACCCAAATCAATATCTGGAGCCTTCTCCATATCCAGATTGGAATTATGGGACATGAAGTTTAGTTTGGGCAGTAAATTCCTTATGGATGATTTGGCTCTGGGGAGGTGGCCTGGAGATCCATTCACTCTGGGATCAGAAGGACTAGGAGTCACAAGAAAATTCACCTTCTTTGCAGTTGGGGTAGGGGTCAAAAGCTTCTTAATCTGAACAATTTCTTCACGGGAATTCTGCAAACTCATCATAGGTATTTCCAGTGAAAGATTGGGCCTTCTCCCATGTTTAACTTGTGTTATTTCTTCAATTATTCCAGAGGAACTTAGAGACTGTAAAAAAGCAAGAAACAAGAAAGTATCACAAAAAGGATCCTAATTTCAACAAGGAATCAAAACCCATCATCTTCAATACCAAGAACTCTAACAATTCATATCTAATAAACCCAAAAAAAAAAAAAAAAAAGTATGGTGGTATCCAAGAAACCTAGTTAATGACAGTTGGCAAGTGAACATAATACAGAACTGAACTTTACTTTGTCTTAAGAGCAAAAGAGAAACAGAGAAAACCAGCCAGTATACCATTTAAGCATATCTGGGGGGGAGAAAAAAAGGGTAAAACCAAAATGATTTCAAGCTCCCAAAAAGCCCTTGAAAAGGCCAGAAAATCTTGAATAAGAGTACTGGGCAAACAAGACACTAAGAACATACCTTAGGGATTGAAATCCCAGTTTCTCTTCTTCCACCATTCTGCACATCTTCCCCCTCACTCAAGAAAGTTTCTTTCTTTTCCCTGTCCATGACACCAGTACGCTGAAATCCGGCAGTTTTGCCAGAAATCCTCAAACAAACAAGGCTGTTACGCTCCAAGAGAGCTGGGAAATGAAAAATATGATGATATGAACCTCGTCGTATAAGTCCTAGATAGGGAAAATGTTGAGAAGAAAGCAAAAGTTGAACGACATTTGCCTGTTATTCTTTGATAGTGTACAAGATTCTTTCGCAGTTTCGCATGAAAAGGGTGATTAGACGCTTCAGGACCAAAGTTTGGCCCGTCACTTATACTGCTAACCACAAAATGTTTATGATTAGGTTGTTATCAACGCTTGCTGTGAGGAGCGGTCTATTAAAGCCTAAAGGGGCGTTTCAAATTAATGAAGGGTAGATGAAGAATTATGTTAATTTTTTTTTATTATTATTGAGGAGATACTTATGAACAGATATTTACATTGTAATAGAGTCGATAGTATTAAAATTATGTTAATTCATAATTCATACTTCTCCAAAAGGGAAAATTCTCCGCCCGATTCGACAGAGCATTTAGGAGGATGTAAATCATTGCGACTCAATGACTCATAAATAAGGTCAAATGCCCCGTAGTTAAAGTTTGCATACTGAATCATTGAGCTAAGTCCGTACGGACATTCATAATTCATTTGCAATGTAATTAAAATGAAGATATGGAGTAAACAATACGGAGTAATATCTCGATATTTAATTATAAAAATCATTATATGAATATAAAGGAATAAGGTTCAAATTGGCCACTGAACATAACCTGAAAATGCAATTAGGCCACTGAACAAAAAAAAAAAGTGCAATTAGGCCACTGAACACTCCAAAAATGTGCAATTTCACCTAATAGCAGGTTACCCTCAATTTTAGCAGGTTATCTGCTTACGTGGCAGCTGAGTTGGCATTTTAATTAATTTTTAATAAATTTTAATAATAACTTTTTATTAAAAAAAATTTAAAAAAATAAAAACGACTTTATTTTATTTTTTATTTAATTTTTTTCCAATTTTTTATAAAATTTATTATTAAAATTAATTATTAAAAATTATTTAAAAATTATTAAAAATGCCAACTAAGCTGCCACGTAAGCAGGTAACCTGCTAAAATTGATGGTAACCTGCTATCCGGTAAAATTGCATACGTTTGGAGAGTTCAGTGGCCTAATTGCACATTTTTTGAGTGTTCAATGGCCTAATTGCACTTTTTTTCCGTTCAGTGGCCTAATTGCATTTTCATGCTACGTTCAGTGGCCAATTTGAACCTTATTCCGAATATAAATTAATAGTATAAATTAGTGGGCCAAACATATTTTTTGAATAAATCCTATATATAATAAAGCTATATGGTCTTGTAAAAATTGAATGTTGCATTTAATTTTCACAAGACCATATGACTTTAAGATGTGAAAGTCTTGTGAAAATTAAATAGGCTTTAAGATGTGAAAATTACTTTAAGATGTGAAAATTAAATGCAACATTTAATTTTCATATCTTAAAGTCATATGGCTTTAAGAAGCATGCATGCAACCCCAAAGTCCATAAGTTTGAAATTAATATATAGCATAGCTATGTGGCTAAATATTTAAGATTGTTGATGTGCATATTGAGGACTACGGAGACAAAGATGCGTTATTCGTGGATTCATCGGATACTATCCAACAACACTCTCCAACTTAATTGACGTGAAGTAGGCTTAGTAACATTAAGATTATATTCTCGAATTATTAGTTCTCATCTTTTATTTATTACACACTTAATTCGATAGTATTTGGAAGAAAAAAATCAATGTTCTAACTAAGATTGTGATTTTGGTCTTTAAAGGTCAATTGTATGTTGCTACATCTAGAGTTAGAAATCTCAATGGTTTAAAAATTTTGATCCATGGTGACTCTAAAATTGTAATTCAATTACTATTGTAGTTTACTAAGTTCTTAAAAATTTATAATATTAAAATACTATGTACTAAATTTTTAATATAGTTTAAGATTTGTAGTAATCACCCACCTTAAATATTACTTTAATTGTAAATATATTTATATTCATAATTTTATCATAGGAATTCACACATAATAATTATTAAATAACAAAAATTTTATATATGAATAAACCTCATATAATTTATATTTTTATAACATATTTTCCGTTTATAACATATTTTCCGTGCATCGCACGGGACAAATACTAGTAAATATAAATGGCAATATAAAATTCTTATATTTTTAGTATTTTAATTAAAATCCACTAATGCAGACTACTATTTATCATATATTAACTTTTGAAAAGATTCACCAATGATTAGTCTATTTATGATTTATCAACCACCTAAATTTGTTACACGATTTAGTTATAGCCTGATAGACCAAATATAACCAATAAATATTTTTAAAAAATTATTTTCCAAATCTATTGTAATTATAATAAAATAAAGTTTTGTAAACTCATTCTAATTGGTTGAAAAATGATGAGCGGTTGAAACTTTTTAGAATATAAATTTAAAATTTAATAAATTATCTTGATCCCTAATTTTATTCTATTTTTATATTTTGTACAAATAAAAACATCATATAAAAATATATCTTTTAAGTGATACTCATATTGATTTTTTTTTTTAAATTAATCTACAATTACATTTAGTTGTAACTACATATTCATTAAATTACTACGTATTCATTGTTGTAAGTTCATTAAGTCACTACAAAGTTTATAACTTAGATTCTCTTAAATTTTTGCATATTTTATTTACATGTGAAAATTATTCAACTTGCCAATATAAATATTTCAAACTAACCCTTGTTTTTTTGTTTTTTTTTTTTAAAGCACAAACCCTTGTTAGTTGTTACTAAGTTTTTTTTTTTTTTTTAAATGGAATATGCTATAAAAATAATATAATATTTTTGCAAAAAATAATAAGGTAATAATGGATGGTTATTTAATGATGTTATCCTATGTGTAAATGGGTACGGTTTAGAAATGAGTCAACGTCTCATTCAGCAGGCCACGTGTAATGCATATTAATATCCAATCACCCTATCTGCCATGGCAGTTCTATTGTGGCTATCAACCACCATACTACGGCCTCTATCACCTTCAATGTTGATGTTAAATATTACAAATAAAATATACCAAATATTCTTTCAATCATGGGAGATAATACATTTAATCTCTTTCTGATATATTATTTTTTGTTCTCAAGTTGACATGAAGCCATGAAGGTGATGCTTTTAGTTTTTAATGAGTTTTTTTTTTTTTTTTTTTTGGGTAATAAAATTAAAGTGACAAAACAATATCAATAGTTAATAGAATATTCTTAGCTCAATTGCTCAGTAAGCAGTATTTGGGAGAAAAGATTAATGTTCAAACTTCGGTGGCAGTATGGGGATTATGTCCAAAGTGGGTGGCAGTATGGGGATTATGTCCAAAGTGGGTAGATCTCTTATGCACACCGACATTTGATCATGTCTGCTGAGCCATTGAGTCATCGCGATTTACATTTTCCAAATGCTCTGTCGAATTGGGGTTGGGGATTCAACCTTTTGGGAGGAGAAGAATATTATTTTGATTTGAAAATTAAAGACTCTAAATTTAAAAATTTTCACTATAGTTCTTTGATACTATTGTATGAAAAATTGAAAATGATGGGCAACCAAAAAAATAAAAATAAAAATTGTATGAAAATTACTATTTCAAGTCCATTTAAGTCAAGCTAAGAGTGAATTGAATGAACCAATAATTAAGGGATTAAATTCATTTTATTATACAATTATACAATAATATTGAAACTTGAAAGCCATAAATGTCGTTTTTCAACTGTTGGGAACAAAATGAGAGCATAATATATGTTCAACATTGATGATTATATTAAAATAAATATTACTGATGGGGAGAATTCCCGAGGCTTCGCTCCCATAAGTAGGTCGGTCATGGACCCCCGAAATGGGACGGGCCTGAACCGACCATCGAGGGTCTATTCAGTAGGCCTTCTCGGCCTTCACCAAAAGGATTTGAGAATGGCTCCGTGACCTCGGCTGAACCAATCTAGCTATCTAGGTCGGGTCAGCCAGGACCCCTTGGGCCAGTGCTTTTTTTTTTTTGAATGCTACTGGCTCTATTACATTGTAGTATCTGTTCATATACTTTCTCAACTTACTGAAACACAAAGAACCAATAGAACCAATAACGCCTCCACTGAGGCTCGAACTCACAACCTTCCAAATGGAAGTCCAACCCGAGTACCATTAGACCACATAGTCTTGGTAATTACAAATTAATATGAATAGTTAAAAAAGAATTATAAAATTTAGAACATATAAATTGTTTATAGTAATAGAATTAGGAAAAGATGTTTAATAGAGTGAGTTAGATTTTGGTTCACAAGATTTGATAATTAAAAAAAAACAAAAAAAAAAAAGAATAAGGTTCAAATTGGCCACTGAACGTAACTTGAAAATGCAATTAGGCCACTGAACACTCAAAAAACGTACAATTAGGCCACTGAACACTCCAAATGTATGCAATTTCACCGGATAGCAGATTATCATCAATTTTAGCAAGTTACCTGCTTACGTGGCAGCTGAGTTAGCATTTTTTAATAAATTTTAAATAATTTTTAATAAATTGTTTTTAAAAAATTATATAAAAAAAATCCCCGGCGGCCACCCGTTGTTTTATTATTATTTTTTTTTATTTAATTTTTTTCAAAACTTTTTAAATTTATTATTAAAATTTATTAAAAATTATTAAAAATGTCAACTCAGCTGCCACATAAGCAGGTGACCTGCTAAAATTGATGGTAACCTGCTATAAGGTGAAATTGCATAGATTTAGAGTGTTCAGTGGTCTAATTGCACTTTTTTTTTTTTTTTTTTTTTTCGTTCAGTGGCCTAATTGCATTTTCAGGCTACGTTCAGTGGCCAATTTAAACCTTATTCCTAAAAAAAAATGTTCAATCTACTTAAATTTTGAAATTAGTAATAAATATAATTTATAATTTTTTAAAGTTAAAGTTAGTCGATTATTTTTATAAGGTTTGATAGTACCGGACAAGTAAAAATTTAGAGGAAGGGTGAATATACTATATTAAATCTTTTTTGAACTGAATAATTTGTAGGTAAACTAATTAAATTAAGTCTATTGAAATTAATTTCTGAACAAGACATTTATATCTTATGTTAAAATTCTAACTTTATCAATCTTTTTTTTTTTTTTTAATATTACTGATTTTATTATAATGTAGTACTTGTTCATAACTATTTCTCAATTTAATGAAGCACAAA